AAACATACTGGCAGGTTAATTGGCTTCAGGGAAAACTGGCGCTAGTGAGATTGTATGCGTGTCTGTGTTTGTGACCTGCAATTGACTGGCATCCTGTCCAGGACACACCCTGCCTTGCATAGTTGCTTGACGTGATAGACTCTGGCTCCCCCATGACCCTGAATTGGATGTTGTGGCTAGAAAATGGATGTATCTGTTATGTCTTGTGTAACGGCAAGGATTCTGAAAATTATAGATTTTTTGAGGTGATATGCAGTCTACTTAACCTTGTATTCACATTAAAAAAATATCAGTTAATGTACAGTATAAGCAAAGAGTGAACACAGAGTTAAGGAGTTCTTCTTTATTCTTTGACTAAATATGTGACAGCACAGTTAAAAAATCCTTAAAATATAGATATTTTGACCAGCAGAATTGCAGACTAGATACCTCTGCTGTACTAGTAATAGTGGAGATGGGTATTTTCAGGTGTGAAGCTATTTTTTTATAGCCATTGCCTAATTTATGAAGGTCAACAACCTTTTTTCTCCTTTAATTTTTGTATTCTCTGATCTTCCCCGTGTTGATGGATGACTAAGGGTGTTTGGCCTGCATGTCACCTCATATTTATACCCCAGTGAAACAGGAAGTCATGGATGACCACTTACTGTAAGAGTTCCCAAAGACTCAAGTGTGCTTAAAAAAGGTAAAATATGAATGGGAATGTATGTCAATTAGATTTTGTTCATAGGAATTTCTAGGGGTGCCAATAATTGTGACAGGTGTTTTTGAGAGTTTATTTTTTATAAGGATTTATTTTTTCTTTGAATAATTTTACCTCACTGAAAGGTTAGATTTCTCTTATATTTTCAGTGCAAGATCAAGCTGGTGAACAACAAAGACATTTTTTCATAGCCTTTTTTGCTCAGCTTTGCCAAGGGTGCCAATAATTCTGGAGGGCACTGTATAGAAGCAATGACTGGTAAGGGCAAATGGGAAATTTGGCCAGGACTCTGGGGTAACACCCCTACTCTTTTCGAGGAACACCCTGGGATTTGTAATGACCACAGAGAGTCAGGACCACAGTTTTAAATCTCATCCAAAGGAGGGTGCCTTTTTACAGTATAGTGTCCACTATACTGGGACATTGGAACCCACATAGACTGTAGGGTGAGCACCCCCTGCTGACCCCACTTCCAGCAGCAACCATACTGTAGCTTCCCAGGAGCTCTCCCATCCAGGTTCTGACCAGGCTTATACCTGCTTAGCTTCAGTGGGTTGCCAGTTGTGAGTTGCAGGGTGATATGGCTGCTGGCCACATAAGAAATATTTGTGTATAACATACAGTATATACTGTATATGAATAACGTTTTTTAAATGTCCTTGATTTTAATTTGAACTCCCCAACATTTGTGCAATATTTTGACATTTGTCACTTTCTTGGGAGAACTCTAGCTCTTTTTTAACTATTCTGACTTTGTATTTCACACAAGAAAAAACAGATCCAGTCCTCACTCATTGACATCAGGTTTTTACTTACAGACAGTCATACAGTTCAACTGATTTTCATTCCAGCATAAATATGATTTCTTTCCTGTTCTTTCTATAGATGAGACCTCTTACAGTGTTGGTGATTATGAAATTATATATGTATTGTATACTGTACAAAGACAACAGGGATACTACCTTGTAGCCTGATCACAACAGATGTCAGAAACAAAATAAGATTGAGCCTAGTTAGTAATGGAACGAGAATTTCAATAACAGTGTTTCCCAGTCATGGTCCTGGATCACCTCTGTCATAGTTTCAGTAATAGTCACCTTATGTGTATTATTTCCAAGTAATGTATCAACAGATTTCTGTTTAATCTTGCTTTATTGTTTTTTCTCATAGCTTTTTTTAAATAACTAATTGGTTAATAATTAGTCATGTACAGTACAGTACACAATTAGGACTGTGTGTAAAAAGTATCACAATCTCACATTATTGGCATTCTTAGTGATGTATAAACTTTTTAGGGTCCACCTCAAAACAATAAACCTGCTGAAAGTGACATTAATTCTGAAACCTTGAAATTCTGAAAATTCAAAAGGTCAGTTTAAGGTTCAATAAGCTTAATTCCTCAAACAATAGTTGGAAACTAATATATTTCTAAGGTCTGTCTTTCTGAGTAAGATTCTTATCTTACTATTTAAATGTTTTTTTTAATTTAATTTGCTGCTTCTACAGTGTTTGCTAATTCTCCTGGTGTCATATAATCAAAAGGCTTCTATAGTTTACTTAGTATACCAGAATATAGATCATTTATATGAATTTGAAAGAGCAGTGGTCCTAATACAGATCCCTTTGCTGCTTCACTAGTTTTCTCACTTTAATTTGAGCATTAATCTTTTATTTCTATACGTTCTGTTCATTATTTTTGGTTAATTACTACTGTATGTCCATAGTTGTTGAGTTCATTACTCAACAGTAATGAACACACACAGTGTATTGAAAGCTCTTCGTCTGTGCATTACTGTTGTCACTTTTTCAAAGAAATATAGCAAGTTAGCAAAATCTACCTTTTCTAAAATCATACTGATTATTCTCTAGGATTCTGTTCCTACAGTATATAGATGATGCTCTGTTTTATTTCTGGCTTTTATTTCTGTATTTATATAATGTATGCACAGTAATAGAAAAATGAAATATTAGTCTAGAACTACTTGGTTCAGTTTTGTCACCCTTTTTATGGATAGGCACCACTTTAGCAATTTTCCAGTCAATGGATATTACCCCTGTCTTGAACGCTGTTGGACGACTTTTGTTAATGGCCTGTGAATAATACAGTATCTCTTGCTTCCTTCAGCACAATTATTAGAACAGGCCCAAGAGATTTGTTTTCTTGCTCTTTTAAGTGCTTCTAGTGCATAACACAGCTGCTTTTTCTATGTTAATACTATTTAATATAGTACTTTGTCCTTCCTCAGCCTGAGGCATGTTTTCAAGTTCTTCCTTGGTAAAACACCCTAAGGAATTATTTATTTAATACATAAGCCATTTCCCTTTCAACCTCTTGAAGTTTCCCACATTTAACCAGGACATATTTTATTTCAGCCTTGATTCTTTTGTGGTTGTAATACTGAAAAATGTATCATTTAATACTTATTATGGCCTTCATTGCTATATATCTATTTCCCTCTTCTAATATCCTTTTTGCCTGTCTTTTTGCAAGTTATCATACATATGTTTTAAACTAGATGTCTGTTCTTTATTTTGAGTTCTGCAAAGTGTTTTATTTCTCCTTATAGGTTTTGTAATTGATTAAGTAAAACCATTTGGGCCAAATCTCCCTAACCTCTGATTTACTTCGTCTCAGGATACATCTGTTTTGTGCTTCAAGCACAATTTATTTAAACTGTTCCCATCCAAACATTTTATACTGATTCTATACATACACTGTATACACTATATACTATATACACTGTATAGTATCTCATTCTACTAAAGCTCTCTCTCATTCCTCCTTAGTCTGCTTTCCTGAAATTTCAAACCTTGAACTCTACCTGTACAGATTCAAATTACAATTCTAAGAGCACCAAATTACACTCACCATTTTCTATTGGTGCTCTTACTGCTGTATGCCGTGTTCTATCCTTTTTTGTTTAAAAAGATTAGTTCAATATAGCTACACCTGCTGTGCCTGTAGCTTATATTCATTTTCATATTTTTCAAGGTTTTCCTTCTTTTTCTTAAACATGTAGTGAGTGAAACACCATTTTTGTAGAACAGAACAGTATAACAGTACACCATTTTCTTTCTCTGGGAAATTAATCTCAATGAAAAAGAAAAGGAATTTTAGTTAGGCCTTCTAATTGATGTAATAATAATAATACTGACCTTGAAATAATCTCATTAATTATTATTAGAAACAAAAAATCCCTTTATCTTGTTTCCATCCACAAAAAATCGGACAAAAAAATGCATCAGCTTTAGAAAAAATATATTTTCTACTGATCATTTCAGAAGTGTTATTGAATGGAAACTGGACATCTGTTAGAGTAAAGGGTACAAATGGACACAGTGCACCTGATAATAATAAAACTGTGTATCCATTTCCGAAAGAACAATCTGGATGGTCAGAATCAATTCTTCAGACCTGTCTCAAGGGAGACTATAACACTGTAATGAAGCCAGGTTTAAAAACAAAGCAAACAAAAAAAAAACAGAATTGTTATGAAGTTCAGAAACAAATGGATCCATGGTGCAAGAAATAGGATTCATGGAGGCTTGAATTGCTTCTGCTGCTGATACGATCAATTCTGTACAGCGCCATACTTCTGTTTTCCTGTCTTACTTCATTTTAGCATGGATAACTCAGAAGTGAGTATTACTGACAGTGGGGTGTGGGGGGAGTTGGAGTAGTTTGGGGGCAATGGAGAGGACGTTTGTATCACTTTGTTCTTGTTTTGAAAAAGAAATATGCATATAAATGACTCACAAGGAAATACATTCATTTATTCATTTGTTTATTGTTTGGGTAACAATTTCAACACTTATCACAATAATATGATTTTAGATACTCTGTATTGAGTGTAATAAGATTTATTTGTCTAGGAATTAAAATCAGAAGGGTTGTTTGTACAAATGTTTTCTCTCTTTCGTTCAGCCTTTTCTATTTAAGAGAATATTTCTTTTTAAATATTAAAATATATCCTCCCAGCCTACCCAAAATTGTTTCCTCAGAGACTTTGACTTTAGGTATACTTTAATAATAATTTACAGACTTTAGGGTGATTTTCCTTACCGTATTATTAGCTCCAGTGTAATTTTGATCTCCACTCTCATGATCAGGAAATTCTGGAAGTGAAAGATTAAATTTAGAGAACATAGTTGATTGCTCTTCTGTCCTTTCTTTTCTTTATTTCTGCATCACACAGTTTGCTCTCTGAAAACAACTAATCCCCATTGTTATGGAGTGCTCATTCTTCAGAGAAGACTTAAATAAAAATGTTGTTTTTTCTTTCCATTCTTCCTGCAGACAGCATTGAAGACTACATCCAGACAACATCCTCCAATGTAGAGTCAGCCAATCAGGAACTTGCCAAAGCCAGTCGCTACCAGGTACCAGCTAGCAACCATGTTAATGATCTGTACATGCCCACTGCTTTTAGAGAATCTCAACATATCCCTGCAATACACATGTAATTCACCAGGGGTAATACTCTCATTAAATGGCTGTGAAATCAATAACCCTTCAACTTTTATCAAAACATTCCTTCTAATTACAAATTATACATTACATTTTGCTTTATCTCAAATTATATTTAAATGTGAATTACTGTTTAGTTTTTAGAATGGATCAAGCTGGTCTCAGTAAGTAAAAGCATTAAGTCGCAGTAAGTAAAACATCAACTAATTTAAAGAGCCCATTCCTTTTCTTTTCTTCTTAAACAGCTGTGAGTACAATGGCTCTAAATAAAAGCTTTACAATGCACCCTAAGCATGCAGAAACCAATAATGAAATACCCAAAAAAAGAATTAAAAAAGAAAATCATCACCTTAATTGTAAACACCCATCACTTAATTTAAAATCTCACATACTATAATATCAGCAAACTAGATAAAGTTAAAGAGATTTTCCTTTTATCCAATGGAATCTAATAGCTTTCTATTTAGCTATTTGAAATAGTCAAACAAAGCTCTTGTATCTGTACAGCTTGGAATGTGGATAGATTCAGTGTGTGAACAGAACTTTGATGGCCCATTTATTATCAGCTTCCATCCTACTCTGACATGGCCAGGCAAGAGATTAAAGGAGCACATTTGAGCTGGTGACAACTGTAATGGAAGTCATCATTCTCCAGCTGGCTCTAAAGATTCATTTTTCTGCTCTCTGTGCTGCAAGGCTGATAGGCCTGCCATGGCTGCTGCCCTTTGCTGTCTCCAATAGCACCTAGGGCAAACATTACAGCAGGACTACGTCTGCACAAGGTCAGTGGCAGTGACAGGGACTGGAGCCAGGGACTTGACTGACTTTGTGAGGGACTCTTAGCACAGCATGTGTCATTGATTCTTCTCTGAGATCTGTAAGCTCACATTTCAAGGAGAACTATGGAATCAGGGACTGACATGAGAATCCAGGTAAAAGACAAAATGAGCCAAGTCAGGCTCTTGTATACATTCCTTTTTACAGGGAGCTGGATATTGGATGTTTAGCATTTTTAGCAAATCTGCTGAAAACAGAAATGTTAAACCACAATGATACACAAAATGTACTGTATATACAGTGTCTATTTGTCTGTTTTACTTAATCAGTTAAATGTGTGCACAAGTATCTAGCTCATAACACCTTAAATGGATCAAAGTGCTATGCAGTTTTCACCTATTTCTACTCTGCTTTTTATGGAAAGAAACTGAGAAATGACTTGTCTTATTTAATGTTTTTGGATGTTGGAATCTGTGAAGATAGATCATATCTAAAATATAAAGAGATAATGGCGTTTCTACATTTAATGAACACTTTTCTAAAAGCCAACACATCCAGTGTTTTGTACTCATAATTCTGATTGGGACTGAGGAAAGGTACAGTACTGTATATGAAGAAGGATTTATCAAATTACATGTAAAATTTTACAGATCAGCTATGACAATTAATCATTTTTAATTAATTAATACTACAAATGTGATGCAAGCATACAGTAGCTGTACCAACATGACAATTTTTTTGTTCTCAGTGATTAATTTAATGAGATTTACACTTGAGCCTGTAGGAGTTTGCAGGGGTCTAGAAAAAGTTTCCCATCTCTTCTACAACAGAGAAAAAAAATCTGAATCAATTAATTATATATTATTGTTGATACTGAAGTCAAATGATCATCAGTATCTGAAAATGCAAATGGTGGCAATAACCTTCCAGATCGCTGCAATGGGCAAAATTATATTAAAATGATTATTTAGCACTTAGTTTCTAATCTGGTTATTTGTTACTGATGAGCAACAGGCACACAAAATCTATTGAATACCCACACCGAAAAGCTGGGTGCAAGATAATGAAGCTGGAAAATATATGAAGATAAAAATTCTTTGGATTGTTGGTTTACTGGTGTAATTTGAACATGATGATCCTGGTGGCAAAATGGAGCTTATTTTTCTTATTTTCATGTTCCTTTGGTATACAGACAGATACACCAGCACAGATACTTTATTTGATATACAGTAGAGGTCCCCCATGCTAGATAGCGGCATTTACTAACATTGATGCAGGAGGCAGAAATGTTTTTTTAAGTTAAAGGGAGACTTTAAACTGGGTCGGTTAGAATTAAAATAAGAACTTTTTCCCTCCTTATTTACCAGTCTCTCGAGGGGTCAGTGTAATAACTGAATTTGGTTCCATGGGAGATCAGTGTGGATTGAGTCAAATCAGATAGATCAGTGTGCTTTGCAGTAATTTCTGTGACTCAAAATACTCTTGACTCCTTTCTTCTTACCCATATTGTCTCCCAGACCTCATGCTTCTGATAACCATTCAGATAGTTTTCTTATGCAAATTGTTTGCTTTTATGCAGAGGCAAGCACAATGTTTTGGCATTGGGCTATGGCAGCATTAGTGTCACAGCATAGCTTTCCACTAAACATTCTTCCATGGACATTTTTTGAAAACTATTAATTGGCATGTTTTCGAAACAGAAAACTTCAGGCAAAAATATATCTGTTTCTGTTCATACTCCTTTTGTTCATATTTCTTTTGTTGTTGATATTTTTGGGAATGTAAACCTGGACACTGTCATGAATCATTTACTTGGCAGGTTGAATTAAAAAGAGACAAATGCCCAGTTACAGACATATAGAGCACTGAGAAATTGTGTGTCTATTATGCGTGTGGAGGATACGTGGCCAGTGTTTAACCCCTCAACCAAATGAATGTTTTTGAACCATAAATCATTTTCCAAATGAGAGAAGTTTTTTGTAAAGCCTGCCCAACAACTCACCTTTTATTAAGCTAAGGCAAGAGAAGTTATTCTTTTAAGAAAATATTTTATTTTAAGAAAAGTCCTTTAAGATGATGCTTTAAATAATGCTACATAAAATATAAAAAGTTGTTAGTCACTTTAAAGCTAACGTACCAAACACCTTGTATGTAGATGTACAGTAGGCTGAGTTATTATTTTAATGAAAGACCCAACCATTTAATGGCCCTGAGATTTTGCAATGCAGCAGGGAACACATCTAATTGAAAGAGACGCCATAACTATTAGATCACATGCAGATCAACCACATCTTGCATCTTTAAATGATATGCCGTAGTTAATAAAAAAAACTTACATACATACCAGGGTGCTGTGACTGACAAACGGGGACAAAAATCCAATTGCTCCACCCAGGCTAGCTCAGCCAGGTGACTAGCAGGCAAATGCAAAAGGCAAATTTTTTTCAGTAAACTGAGGCATAGTGAAACAGGCACAATTCAAACCAAGTGGGAGAGATTGCAGCACAAAGAGGTATCCAAAGGAAAGTTGAAAAAACAGGCAAGAACAAAAACACAGTGGGGAGTCTGAGATTAAATCCAAAAGCAGAGTCGAAAACCAGAAAAGTGATACTAGAAACTATAAGTGAGCAATAGTCAAAACAAAGAGTATTCAAAGCTGTGACATTGAAAATAATCACTGAGCACTGAGTGAGGGAAATGTGAGGACTTATATACCCAGTTATACTAGGTTCAGTAGAGTTAATTGTGGCAGGTTGCATGGATATATGCTTAAATTTAGTTTGTATGACACCGGCAAGTGTTTGAATCTGGGAATGTGGTCGATTGCTGTAGTAATGTGGGGCTAGTAGTCTGCACTCAAAAGTTTGTTACAGTAACACCCATCCCCCAATGGGCAACCCCTAGGTACCAAGTAGAGTTTTCAGTGGAACCTGACGTGGAAGGAGTTTATGAGGACAGGAGTGTGCAGATTTGTGGATCGAACCTAGGGCTGTTCCTCTGGCCCGTAAGCATTACAGTTCCCAAAGTATTACAGACTCCCCTGGTTTCATCAAGAGTCTAGGATGCATTAGGGTTTGAATTCCTGGTTCTCCTCAAACTCCTGATTTGGCAGACTTAGGAGACAGAGTGTGGTAAGTGTGGGTTTGAGCAGAGATATATGGAATGTTGAAGGGATGCATCATTCAAGGCGAAGAAGAAGAGTGAGCTGGTACATGACAGTAATAATCCACCCTGTTACTTTGAAGGGACCAATGAATCTGGGAACTACTGTAGCTTCTAAGAAAGGATCCCCAGGTGGAGATGCTTGGTAGATTGCATCCCATTGATCCACCAAGTGGAGCATCCCAGCTGGGAAGAGTAGCAGAGCACTGCTGCTGTTGGGATGCTTTAAGCAGGTTGTTGCAGACTGTTTGCCACACTCCTTGCAGGATCTGTGAGGAGCAGTGGCTGATATGCATGCAGGCACTGGAAAATAGATATATCTGTGGAGGTGTTTACCAGTAAATTCCTGGAATATTCAGCCCAGGACAGCAGACTAGCCCAGATTCCTTGGAACATAGACACATGGCCATTCTCTGTTGGCCATTGGTATCATGATGTTGTCCTGAGCATGGTTTTAACCAGATCCCCAAGTGTCAGCAAAAGGCACGCCAGACTTTAGAGACAAATTAGAGATCACTGCTCGAAGTGATGTTCCCGGGGAATCCGTAAAGCTGAAATACTTCTTCAGTGAATATTTCTGCCACTAGAAGAGCTGATGGCAGTCCTGGTAGTGAAAAAAAGTAAAGAAGAAAAAGAAATGGTTCACCGTGGTGAGCATCAAGAGCTAGGAAGACATAAATCCTTGGCTCTGCTGCAAGTGGGACATGCCACCACAAACACCTCTAGGGGCAAAAGAAGTACTGACAGATCAACTCTGCTGAGCACTGAATGCCCAGCTGATTTGAAAACTGGAAAGAGTATACCCAAAGCAACACCTTTGGCTTGGGCAATTGAAGAACAAATAGCTTTTCTGGAGAGCCATCTAGAAGATGGGGATCAGAGGTCAGTGCTGCCATGATGGCTCAATCCACTTCTATGCGGGAATTATGGAATCCAGGTCTACTGGCATGCGTAACAGAACATTTTCCTTCCC